GCTTCTTTTTTATTTAATAATATTGGAGACAGAGATACGAAGCGGTTTTATGGCTTAATAAAAATAGTTTATGTTTAATTTGTTTAGAAAAAAAAGGTAAACAATCATATCATTATTTAAAGTACAACCATCGATGGCAAATAAAATTAAAGAATATATTTTGCCTGTGTAAAATACAGGGTTTATTGTGTAATTTGTTTAAATTGTAAAAGAAACATCTCTTTGTTGGAGAAATGATCAAGCATTTATCTGTCAAACTGGATGAGTAAGTTTCTCAATTATTTATTTTTTAATTTATTCAGATTAAATAAGCAATACATATATATATAAAAAAAATATACGTTTTTTATAAATTATGTATTTTTAAATTAGGTTCACAAGCCAAGAATATGACGTAGTATTGAGCTTAATGATAATATTGAATTATCTTAATTTAAAAACACAACCTGTCTAATCTCTGATGGAAATTAAGTGCTGTTGCTTCTTCTAACTTTTTGTAAGAGGTTTATAATAAAATATCAAATTACTTTATAAGTAAACTATAAGTTGTTAAATAATTATCTATAAATTTCAAGAAAAAATCTTATTTTAAAGAATAATAATTGTATATTAATTAAAGATTTATTTTTAATTTTTAGGATGTCATTACAACTGTTGCTCTAGTAAGGCTGTTTGTCAGAAAAACTTGATCCAACATTATGCAAGCAAGTTGCTTCAGACATAATCAAAAACAAGATGGAGCGAGAAGACCAGCCTAATAAAATATTTAAAGGTATATAAGTTTTTATGGTCAACATATATATTCATATTGGTTTTTAAGGCATAAAATTAAGCATTCGGTTTGATTGTACACAACATTCTTAAACCTTTGAATGGTAAGTAAAAAATATAGGTTGTGTAAATATACTTTAATTTTAAGGTGGGATTCTGTCAACTTCAACTGCTGGAACTAAAGATATTAAATCTTCTAAATAATTTTTAATCAGATATCATTCCAAACAGTGCTGGAGTTAACTATACTTGAATTAATAAAAAAGCAAGCAGAAAAATTGATATCAAGTTATTAAAAACCTAGAATAGTCTACTGTTGATAAGGACAATGTAGTTAGCCTAATGACATATATACAACAAGAAGTCGAATCTAAATATTAAATAGAACAATATAATTTGTTTTGGAACAGTAAAACAAGGGATATTGTATTTGTTTATGACACTTCTGAAATTATTCTAAGTATTATAATGGAAAGAGGCTTAAATCCTCATTTCAGTATGGTACATGTATCCAATGATGGAGGTCGAGGATTTCTAAAAGTAATTGTAAATATTTTTGATAAGACCAATAAAAATTAATTATACATGGACAGTAGAGTTAAAAAGTGTTTTGTTCTTGCTATTGTTGAAAATGTTTCTGAACACAACGTAAATCTACAATAAAATCATAAGTGAATTGAATCTAAATGATGTTGCATATCACCTTGCATTTGATTTAAATTGTGCTAACAGCATCTTGGGTTTATCATCTGATTCTTGTGAATATGTCTGCTAGTGGTGTGTAAGTAAATATTTTATAGCAAATGTTGTTCTAAGAAAATTAGATTCTCTTGATCATAAGCACAAGTTATTGGCAATGTTGGCGCAAAGTGATCGCAGATGAAAGATTTTTAAAATGTGAATAATCCGACACTTGTTTCTTTTAATAAAAATCCTGAAAATGAAATTAATCTCTTAGTTTTACCACGAAAATGCAATTTTCGTATGAGGGTTGTAACACAACTCGGTAGACTACTTATAAATCATTGACCTCGGTAGACTACTTATCATTGATCATTGTTTATGAATTGCCTCAAAGAACATTATATCTTACTGCGAAGTTATTATGGGATAGACTTTGATGGCATCTGTGCCACAAAACTTTTAAAAAAAGTAAATATTTTAGAGAGGGATGTTTTAGGAACTTCAGCTAATCTAATATCTAATATTCATTGCCTCTAAAAATTGTCAAAGGTTAAAATTGCCTAATACCTGTCCAGTTTGGACAGGTATTAGGCAATAATGTTCTTCCATTTATTAAAGAATTCAAAGTATCATTTTCTGATCAACAACAGTATGCAAAAATACATTTAAAAACAGAAAGATATATCAATAAAAGGGAAAGATTGGATATATAGCTTATGGTAAATGATTGAAATCCGCTACTGCAGCTTTTTGTGTGAATAAGATGTAAATATTATAATATATTAGCAGTTGTGTTAATTTTTTGTTGCATAACTTGTTTTTTCCTTATTATTACTATAAAGAGCTTTAGTGTATTAGAAATTTAAATAACTTTAAGTTTAGAATTGTAGTTGGTGTAATTAGGTAGGTAACTATTACTTTAAGGAGAAAACAATATATTAATTTGAAATTTGTTTTTTTCAAGATTAATTATAAATATAAATGAGGGTTACTTTGTTACTTTCAGGAGATAAAAAGAAAAAAAAAAAAAATTTAATACAAAAAAAACTTATTAAAGCAGCATCTATTGTTATATGAAATAAAATTAGAAGTGAGAAGAAGTTCAACCTGGTGGTCTTTACAGCTCACATTGATGACGTATATATTGCAAGGTGTAGAAGTTGTTTCAAGTTTTGATATTTAACAAATAAACTCTCAGTTATTCCTCAGATTATTTGAAATTTATAACAAGTTGTATGTGCACATCTTAATAAAAAGTCAAAAAAAAGTTGTGTAATATTGTTAAGCTTAATCATTGTAGATTTTGATCCAGTCATTTTTTCAATCAGGTATGTTTTCGAAACCAGATAGCCCAATTCTAAGAAAAACGTAAGTGTTTTTATTGTTATTATACTTGTAACTTATCATGTCTTTTAATTTTGTTTGAATTTATTTGTTCTCTACCCAAGCAAATATACATTAAAACTTTTAAGGTGCAATTTAGTATAGATAAAAATAAAATAAATTAAACAACATTATGTCAAAACCGAACGTCAAAGCTTTATATGTACGAGTCTAAGTGTGTTTTTGTACGTCTATGCATACGTATACATGTGTATATTTAAACGTACATGTTTGTACAAGCGCCCGTAGCGCTCAACAAATTTACATAAAACTTTCTGATCCAAAACTATTTAATTCTATGTGTTGTTTGTGGAAGTGTTTAGCCAGATACTGAACTATCGGCTGATTACACAAGCAAAAAGTGATCGTTACTCTACACCATCTTCATTATTTTTTGGGAGTTTTTACTTGAACTGTTAATGGATGATTCCTTTACATCGCTAATTAAACCTTCAGACGAAAAAACGGAGAGTTTTTTGCGAGGTTGTTGCAAGAAAATGGCGCAAACAAAAACAGAAATATAACAAGAGTTACAATAAATTAAGCAGATCATTGCGTTATTATTATAAAAAAGATATCATTAAAAAGGTATTGATTACACTTTTTTATCAAATATTTAAAAAAAATTTTTTCGGCAAATTTAACATTTTTAAAGTGATGCCACATATAAGTATATAAGGTGGTATGTATATTTTTATTAAAGAAACTTTAATATATATGCTTAGTCTACTTTTTACTCACAAATAAAAATAAAACCGTGTTTTTTAATCTATACTATATATATATATATATATATATAGTATAGATTAAATTTTTTAATCTATACTATATATATATATATATATGTATATATATATATATATATATATATATGTATATATATATATATATATATATATATATATATATATATATATATATATATATATATATATATATATATATGTATATATATATATATATATATATATATATATATATATATATACATATATACATATATATATATATATATATATATATATATATATATATATATATATATATATATATATATATATATATATATGTATATATATATATGTATATATATATATATATATATATATATATATATATATATATATATATATATATATATATATATATGTATATATATATATATATATATATATATATATATATATATATATATATATATATATATATATATATATATATATATATATATGTATATGTATATATATATATATATATATATATATATATATATATATATATATAGCAGCAGGCTGAGATAGTACTTGAAATTTTTAAGCAGTTTGTAATTTTGATTGATCAACTATGCTAATTTCAAGTGAAAACAAAACAGTGTTTTGAAATCTTGCGATTATTTGTGTTTGTGTAAATACGTCACCAGAACTAAAAGACTTTGCTTGTAATTGAATGAAACTTTCTTTTATGCAAATTTGTTGTAGTGTAAAATTCTATAAGTAATTGGTACCAAACTTGTTTAACAAGACTATATACGCCTACGGCTAACTGTTGAAGTATACGAGACAGATGAGCTGGTAAACATACCAGTATGACGTTATTTTCAATGCAAAATCAGGCATCATCATAAAATATGTGACGTGTTTGTATATGACTAAAATGTAAATATTTTTATTCGAAAAAATTATTTGTTTAATTCATTAAACTATTCAAATAATGAAGAAAAAGCTAATATCCGTAAATTCATTAGAATGCTGTTATGAATACTTTAAAGAGCGATTGAATAGTTTGTTTCTCTTTCATCCAACTCAACTTGGATAATGTAAATACGTTGTTTGGTGGTCCTATACACACTATTATTTGTTCAGATTTTATTGATTTGTGAACTACAAATCATGGAAGAGTGGGACCGGTAGCGTTGACACAAACAACTTTTGTGTAATTATTTTTTTTGTTGTTACTAACCAATTTTAAAGGGTGTTTTGCAAAAACTGTATATTATATGCTGTTTATCTTGATCGCCTGAAAATTAGGTTTCTTCGAAATTTCAGAAATTTCACAAAGTTTTATTGTTGATATGAGTTTCAAGTAGTTGTTTTTGAAGTGTTTTGAAAGAACTCCTTTTTTTTTTCCTCGGTGCAATAGACAAAATTTTGTCTTTGAGAGACAAAATATTGCCTGTTACCCTAACGCCTAATTTATGACTCAATTGTTTTCGTGAAGTCTTGATACGTATATCGTTCGGTGGAAACAAATTACTTTGATTTGTAGTTACCAAATACTATTGCAAACTATTATAATGACATCTGCGAACTTTCTGCCGAATCACCAATCGGCTAAACTGATAAATACTAAAACAAGAACAAATTCAAACGCTGTGCTTAGAACGATAGTTTTACCGCTGCCATGTGATTGATCTTTGTTGTTCACACACTTGTAAAGAGTTGCTTTTGGAATGTTGCATGCCTCTGAAGCTTTACTGAGTGATATTTTGCCTTTTTTGATTTGTTCTATTTCAAGTTGTAGTTGCTCTTCAGTGTAAGTTGTTTGCGTTTTACGAACCCAGCTGGCACATTTGGTTTCCAACACGTATTTGCAACTCTTGTTTGTAATGTGTTGAGCACATTTGCATTTTACCGGGCTTCACGTGTATAAGGCGTGATGCAAGAAAATTTGGGCACGTCTTAATCACGTAACTAGTTTCGTGTGGCGTTGGGCACGTGAAAATCACGTAATTAGTTTCGTTTCTAGTCTGTGTTTTACTTTATTTACAATACGTGTTCAATACAAGATTTCTATCCTCAAATGATCATATATGCAACAAAGCATTTATTTTAATTTTGTTTACATTTCAGTTTTCTGCAAAAATTCTTAACTTTCGCAAGTTAATTAGCATAAGTTAAGAATTTTTGAATTCGAAAAGAGAGAAAAGAAAGTAATAAGAACAATAATTTTTTATTACTTCAATTGCTTTAGACTATATACTATTTGAAATTATGTTAAAACTGTTATAGCAATGCGGTTTGTATTATAATCAAACCTCATAGCTATTGCATATTATCAATAATAAATTGCTATTTTAATTGACTAAATTACTTTTTGTATTACTCGAGTTTCATAGTAATGCGACTGACATGTGAAATTTATGTAAATCCTGCTTTTTAATTACAACTGACAAAAATAATTTATGCAAATTGATTAAAAAATCTTGTCAACATTACAGACTAATAAATCAAATTAGTATGGACAAGTAAAATAAACATTTTTTTTTTTAATTAAATATATTTTGGATTATTAGGATTTTAGAACTACTACAATGAGTGAACAAATTTTTTTTCGCTCAACCGGATTTTCAACCGGTTTAATCATTCTTTTTTGATGATATCAGCAATAATATTTTAGATTCTCTTTCTAAGCCATTGAAAAAAGAAAAGCAAGTATTTCATGTCAATTTTTGCATACCAACATTTTTTTATAAATTAACAAACACATATATGTGTTTAACACAAGACATTTAAATTTATCAAATTATTATTTTTTTACAAATATCTTTAAAAATATTCCCAGCAAAATATAATTAGTGATTAGTTTTAATGAAAGTAAATAGTGATAAACTTAATTTTACATAACTTAATTAAAAATTTTAAGACTTCCATGACTAAATAAAATTCCATGAAGTTTCTATGATTTCCAGTGGCTATCCCTAAATAGGAGCAGCCATTTTATAATTAAATATAAGTAAATTCATACAGACTACCCAGTGGACACGGACGTAAAAAGACGTCTTTTAAACGTCTTATAAACGTTTTTGACGTCTTTTGAACGTCTTTTGAACGTTTTGGACGTCTTTTGAACGTTCAAAAGATGTCTTGTTTTGGTCCAGTGCCCATTAGGTATTAACAGTTTGTATTTAATTTCTTGAGTATTTTTTATTGGGTACATAGTATACTTAAAATCATATGAGGTGCATACACTGAGATAAAAATAAACTAAAAAAATTAATTTGGAACTATAAACATTTGGGTATGTAATAAAGAGTGTGTTGAAAATATAAATTTATAAAAGAAAAACTTATGATCATTGGTGTAAATATTATCAAAATTCAAGACTTATCAACAGTAGAGTCCAACTTTTCCCCATTATTAATCACAGTATTACCTCTTGGTTGTATTCTACCACCATGGCAGTGTTCAATACTGGGGTGTTTAATTAATTGATCGACTAAAAGAAAAATAGAGAAAATAAAAGAACTGATTAAAGTAAAAAAAAAGAACATAATATAATATGTAACACATACAAAAATAATTTGAAATTGAAAAACACCACAAGTATTCTCAATTGTAGATGCTGTTATTCAGTGGCGGAACTACTGGACGCAGGACCCTGCCTTGCAAGGGGGGGCCTACCAGCTATAGGCGGCCCTCATATAAAAAAAGTTATACTCTCAATAATATTTATACTATAAAACTCTTTTCCGCAAAAAAAACATTCTTTTGCGGGGGGGAGGGGCCCAAATTTTGAAGTTCCGCCACTGCTGTTATTTTTTGTTTATTACTGTACCTTTTCTTAGTTATTACATCCTCTTCTATTTCATCACTACTACCTAATAATAAAACAAGCAATTAACTTAAATTTATTGTTACATGAAACTGTCTATATCACTGCTGAAAAGGTAACAAATAAATCTTTTATATTTGGCATTTACTTTTGGATAATTTTCCTTTAAATTTGTGGTTACATCCCTCTTTTAACTCTGTAATTACAAAACAGGTACCTTAATGAAACAAATTTATAGTAAAAACTAACTTAATAGTTTAAATTTAAAAATTACAAACAAAACCAACAACTTGGGCTTTCTTTTTATGTCTTAAAAATCAAAATGGCTTTTTGTCTTCATTTGTACTTGGTATTCCGAGTTTTAACTCTATAACTAGAATCTCATATGAATCTAAATTAAAAATTATCAATTTAAATTATCAACTAACTATATG